ATTATTTTACAAAATCAAGGAACATTACCCAGTTCATTTTATGAAGCCACAATTACCCTGATATCCAAAGCACATTAAGACTCAACAAAAAAAGAGTAAGGACCAATTTCCCACATGAAAATAGAAGCAAAAAGTACTCAATAAAATACTTGTAACCTGAATCAAAGAACAGATGAAAAAGATCACCTACATTGTTAGAATAGGTTTCATCCCAAAGATGCAGAGATGGTTCAACATATGAAAATTAGCAAATATAATCCACAATATAAATAAACACACACGCACGCGCACACACACACACACACACACACCAAGAAAAACAACAATGAACACCAACCACACATCTCATTAGACTCCAAAGAGTCTTTTCATAAAATCTAGCACTAATACATGATAAAAGTCTTAGAGAAATTAAAGATAATATGGGGCATACCTAAACATATGAATACATTTACAGGAAGCTTACGACCAACATCAAATTAAACGGAGAGAAACTCAAAACAATTACACTAAACTCAGGAACAAGGCAAAGTTGTCCACTCAAACCCGATATATTGAATACAGTACTTGAAGCTCTAGCTAGAGCAATAACACAGCTAGAAGAGAGATCAAGGGGATATAATTTGGAAAGGAAGAACTCAAAGTATCCTAATTGACAGATGATATGGTAGTATACATAAGTGACCCCGAAAATTCCACTATCAAACTCCTACAGCTAATAAACACTTTCAGGAAACCGGCTGGATAGAAGATTAACTTAAAACAAAAAAACAGCCTTTCTATATAAACATGACAAATGGACTGAGAACCGAAATCAGGCAAACAACATCCTTCACATATTCAATTATCCTCAAATAATGTAAACTATATTAGAGTAAACCCCCCCCAAAAAAAGTGAAAGACTTGTATTATAAAAAAACTTCAAGTCTTTTGAAAAAAGGAATTGAAGAATATATCAGGAAATGTAAAAAAACAACAACCTCTCATGTTCATGGAACAGTTGGATTAACACAGTAAAAATGCCATCCTACAAAACCCAATCTACAGATTCAAATTAGTCCCTATCAAAATTACAACAGAATTGTCTACAGACCTTGAAAGAACAATTCCAACACTTCATATGGAATAACAAAATCCAGGACAGCTAAGATAATCCGGAACAAGAAAAGAACTGCATGGCACTGGCATACAAACAGACATGATCAATGGAATCAAAGTGAAAACCCAGACATAATTCCACCCACGTAAGGACACCTGATTTTTGATTAAGGAATTCACAAACACACAATGGAACACAGACAGTACCTTCAAAGAATGGTGCTGGTTACACCGTATCGCTACATAAAAAATAATGCAAATAAATTCATATTCATTACTCTGAAAAAAACGCAAGACCAAGTGGATGGAAGACCCCAAAATAAACCAGATACACTGAAACTGATAGAAGAGAATATGAAGAACAGCCTTGAAGGCGCTGGCACAGCAGACAACCTTCTAAACGTGATAACAATGGCTCAGGCTCTAAGACCAACAATTAATATATGGGACCTCATGATTCTGAAAACCTTCTCTAAGGCAAAAAGCACAGTCAACTGGACAAAGAGACAAGATAGCCTAAAGAATGGGAAACGTTGTTTACCAACTGTGTATATTATGCAGATAGAGGCCTACTATACAAAATGTATAATGAACTCAAGAAACTAGATTTTCAAAGAACAAATAATTCTATTTTAAAATGGGGTACAGAGCTAAACAGAATTCTCAAAAGAAGAAACTCACATGGCCTAGAAACACTAAGAAATGTTGAACATCTTTAGCTATCACAGAAATGCAAATGAAGCCAGGCAGCAGTGGTGCAAGCCTTTAATTCCAGCACTGGGGAGGCAGAGGCAGGTGGATTTCTGAGTTCGAGGCCAGCCTGGTCTGCAGAGTGAGTTCTAGGACATCCAGGGCTATACAGAGAAACCCTGTCTTGAAAAACCAAAAAAAAAAGAAATGCAAATGAAAACTTCTTTGAGATTTCTTTTTATACATGTCAGAATAGCTAAGGTCAATAATACAAGTGACAGCTCATGCTGGCAAGGATGTGGAGCAAGGGGAAGACTCTTCCATTGTTGATGGAAAGGCAAACTAATACAGACACTATGGAAACCAATATTGTGTTTCCTCAGAAAAGTTGGAATTGGGCTACTTCAAGACCCAGCTTGGGCATATACCTAAAAAAAAAAAAAAGCTCCATCTTGTGGAAGGACACCTGCTCAATATGTTCATTGTGGCGGGATAGAAACTTGAAATGAGCTAGGTTTCTCTCAACTGAAGAATGGATAAAGAAAATGTGGTGCGGTTATACCACAGAGATACTCAGCTGTTAAAAAAATGACATTAAGACATTAAGACAGGTAAGAGATGTAACTAGGAAAAAAAACCCACCATTAAACAGGGTAATCAAAACTCTGAAATACAAATATGGCATGCGTTCACTTATAAATCTATAGCAGCTCTGGAAAGAAGAACTGGAAAAGATTCTGAGAGTGGACGGGGTTGAATGGACACAGGAGTAGGAGGGATCGTTTGAGGAGGCAGAGAAAGTGCAGTGCATGGAGGAACAGCAGGAGCCAGAGGGTATGGGGGAGCTGAGGTAGATACCTGTAGCACTGGTAACTTCCTGGAATCTATGAAGGTGAACTTAGTGAGCACTCCTAGTAATGGAAATTACAGACTCTGAACTGGCCGTCCTTTGTAGAAAGTCAGGGCTTCAGTGGCGGGTTACATTTCGTTGAGTGGTTGGAAAAGGCTGAAGATGCAGGTGTCCTAGAATTAATATACCTTCCCAATGAGAAATCACTCCACACAATAATAAAAATTAATTAAGAAAAATCTCTTTAAGGCCACCACGCATTCGGCTCTGGAAGACCTCAAAGAGGAGTCACCCTAGAAGAGATTTTGCATTCCACATATGGTATATCCCTTAAGTCTCTTTTAGATTCAGACCCCAGGTTATGCCATAACATAGACTGCAAACTGCAAGTCCAAACACGGGCAGATGTGAGATACACATAGCAAAGATTTTCACAGAAGTAAGTACACCAGTGCTCTTGAGTGACAGGATCTTAGTCGAAAGTCTCAGTGGGTGAGAAAGATAGGAAAAGTAGTAGGAAGAAAAGAGAAAAAGCTTGTTTTTAATAAAATCTAAATCATTCATTTTTACCAAGTAAAACTCAGGAGCCAGATGCTGGGGTGGAAGCCTGCAGGCTCAGAGAGGCAGAGAAAGCACCTGTTGACCTTTCTCTTCGGCTGAAATCCCAGAAGGAATCTCTTTCTGCCACACCTTCTCATATAACCTCCTCTAAACTGAATGTACCTACCTGCATCTTCCTGTACACCTCTCTCTCTTTGCCCCCAATTCCCTCTTACTCTCTATGGCTTTTTTCTTAATAATCCCAGGTTCCCTTCCTGTCAGCTGGTTGCTTGCTCTACCTCTTGACCCATGGTTGATTTTGTTTAATCTTGTTTACACTCAGGGTTCACTGTATGATCAAATATCCTGCAACAGAGGTCTTGCACAAGCTATGTCTAATGCAGTAAGCCTCTTAAGAATATCATCTTGCATACTACTTATAGGAGAAACATGGAAAAAATGGGAGACTTCTATGAAGTCAGCAGAAAATGCCATACAATAGGACAAACACAGGAGGAGTCTAACAAATCCTTCCTGTTCACAGGGAACACAGAATATATCAGAAAAGTTACTGAACAAGCCTACAGTAGACTTGGGACTGATAACCACAGACGAATGTCGTGGCAAGAGATGGGTTCTCAGGATCTGAAGCCACTCCTCCCCACAGGTCCTGGCCCCAGACCATTACCAGCTTTTCCAAGCATATTTAGAGAAGGAGCTCTGTAAAAGTAGCTTTCATTCACCTGAAGTAATTGTCTCTGGGGCTTACTGACTCAGCCTGTTTACCTAGCCCAGTACTGAAGATTTCTAGTCTCTGTACAATCACAGCCTCGGAGATTCACTGCTAAATAAGCTCACCTTTTTCCTAGTTCTTCCTGAACTCTTGCTGGCTGCTCAATTCAGCTGCTCTGGCTCAAAACTACTCTCCATGCTGACTGATTCAATCTAGTCTCTGTCGTCTCTTCCTCCTCCTCCTTCCTCGCTTCTCTCTCTGCTTTCTCTTTCTCTTCCCCCTTCCTGCCTCCCTCTCTCACCATGGTGACATCCCTGACCTCGGTTCGTGAGGCCAGTGAACATAACTGCCCAAGAGCAGCTTCCCAATAAACTGGCACTTAATATAATCTAATCTGGCTTGAATTGGCTCATTTGAGCAACAGAGAACAAATCAGGTATCAATGGGAATGGCCTTGTGGCTGGTTGTAAATCTGGTTTGTCTTTGTTCTGCTCTTCAGCCATATTTCTGAGCAATCCTAGTGAACAAACATGTGTATCCTCGCATCCCATCTCTAACAGGCAGGGTTAGCATAGGACGCATCTCTGGGGTGTTACAGAGCGCATCCTCCCTCATCTAAATTTTATGTGGTGTGACTTACTCTCTCCTAAGCACTGCAAGTCCTTTACTTCATAAATCTGCTCTTCTACATCACAGGTTAATATTGGAGTGCTACCCAACACAGGAGACGTCTTTTACAACCTGCACTAAATGAACTCCAAATGGATCTTACAACTAAACGTTAAATGCTAAAGGTATGAATTGTAGAAGATACTAAGAGAAACCAGGGCTCTTCGAGTTTGGCATCTTGCCAAGGATGTTCCTGAACACAAGCCTCTGCTCCAAATGCCTGGCGCAGAAGCAGCCCCGATAGCGAAGTTATTCAGAGCCCACCACCGGGTCCACGGAATGACTAGAACTAAAAGAGACCTCACAGGTGACTACATCTGGCCACCACTTACTACCCAGTCCCAGAGAGAACCCACCACACCAGCTCCCGAGGTTCAGCCGCCTGCTCCTCCCCGATGTTGGCAGTGACCCTGTGCTCACCATGTCGCGACTTCGGACCTAGTCTGAGTGTGCCTCAGAGCACCCGGTACGAATTTCCCCTTCTTCCTCCTGAAATCAAGGTGGAGGGCTTGCATCTGTAATTCTCAGAATTAACCTGGAAGCCTCCTCGGCCCAGAACTACGCAACTTCCTGGAATGCTGGGAATTGTAGTTCTTTGGAAATAACAAAGGCTCATGGGAAAGTATGGTGGCCTAGTTGAATTTCTCGGTATAAACCGCTGTAACACGTGACTGAGGCCGTTCGAGCTGGCAAATTCCGGGGGTATTTTACTGACCAAGGTCTGTGTCTTGGTCAGTATTTAATATTTAATAAAGGCCTGCTTTAAGTTTGTTTCAAAATTGTTGAGTTGGTTTTTTTTCCAGCAAAAATCATGATTAACGTACAGAGGTTCAGTGGAAGATAACTCTACCCCGCAGGCGCTCTTCAATATGTACACTGGAGGGTGAGCTGAGCTGCCAAGGGCACTGAGCGTCCTGGCGCCAGAGTTTTACATCTGGTAACCAAAGTGAGATCCGCACAGAAGCAAGCAGTCTCTAGCAGAAGCTAAGATAAGCAGTTAGCCACGGGGAAGGGGGAGCGGGTGTGGGGCGGGGGGTAGAGGGGGGACCAGCACAAACAGGCTGAGGTAAGTTAGCAAGGATATCCTGACCTTGGGTTCCTAGAAATGGCGTTGAGTAATTTTCCTAGAATTCTTGATCAAGGAAATCAAATTCTAGTTAAACCTGAAATACTCTCAGCAACAATACAAGATGGAAGAGTGGTGGGGTCTCTGTCCAGCAACAAGAACGAGGATTCAAGCCAGACATGGTATAGCATAGACAGAGGGATCTCTTGAGTTTGAGGCCAACTTGATCTACAGAGAGAATTCCAGAACAGACAGAGCTGTAGAAAGAGACAGCAATCAACTGCATATCTCACAATATAGCTCGATTGCTATGGCTTTGTGTATATTATTTGATAATCCATGCTTCTTCGTGTTCCCATTAGTTACCTTTCGCCACTGCATCTTCAAATAGTGGCTTCTAAGGGAATTACCTAGAGATAGATGGTAGATACTGTAACAGCAATGAAATTAATTTAAATGGAAACATTTCTGGTGTGTGTGTGTGTGCACGTATGTGTTATTATAGGGTTTTAGGCCATGACACATATTCGGAGTTTGGAAGACAACTTTGTGGGGTCTACTTTGGCCATCTTTTATATGATGATCAAGGTCAGGTTGCTAGTTTTGCAACCCACAGACATTTCACACTGAGCCATCTCACTGATCCTCAAATAAGACGTAATCATCAGTAAAATATTATCTTCTTTTCAGATTGCAAACATATTGTCACACCAAAATGGAAGAAAGCAGGACAATTCAAATATTAAATCTTATTTGCAAATGACAATATATTCTGCTACCTTTTTTTTTTCTCAAATATGTTAGTTTATACTTAGGACTGAACGCTTGTTCATGTCACAGAACCACAAATGAGTATCAGAGAATTGTCTCTGTGGGGAAAGTCAGCCCCGATGAGCTCAGTTCACTGTCTGTGAAACCCATGTTACTTGTACAAACTTTTCTCTTATTTCTCCATTTGGGCTGTGCCATGTGCACACTCACACACTGGCACATATATAAAAATTTTCTTAAAAAGTATTTATGTATATACGTATACTATCTTCAGACACACCAGAAGAGGGCATCAGATCACATGACAGATGGTTGTGAGCCACCATGTGGTTGCTGGGCATTGAACTCAGGTCCTCTGGAAGAGCAGTCGGTGGTCTTAACTGCTGAGCCATCTCTCCAGCTCATATAAATAATTTTTAAGCCCAAATAAGGGCCAATGAGGTCACTTGAATCAAACAACTCCTGGGTTTCATCTCTAGAATTCTTCATGTACCTGAAGTGGACACAGACAATAGTGTAAATGGTCCTCTCACTCCCACATACACACCATGGCACAGGTGTGCACATAACAGTTCAAATATTTTGAAATGGATGAAACTGACAAAGTAAATAACTCAACTATTGAGAACACATGAAATGATTTGCCAGTTTAAATTCTTTTTTTTTTTTTTTTTTTTTTTGGTTTTTCGAGACAGGGTTTCTCTGTATAGCCCTGGCTGTCCTGGAACTCACTCTGTAGACCAGGCTGGCCTCGAACTCAGAAATCCGCCTGCCTCTGCCTCCCAAGTGCTGGGATTAAAGGCGTGCGCCACCACCGCCCAGCCTACAGTGAGTTCTAATAGAGCCGTGGCTATGTAGGGATATCCTGTCTCAAAAAGATCCAAAAATAGTATATTTCAAATTATGGAAATTTTCCTAACAGAATCTGAGTAGACTCTGATTGGTTTTAACAGACTTCCTGCCATCTTTACTCACATTAAGAGAACTGTTTTCTGGGCCTGGAGAGATGGCTGGAGAGACACATATAATTAAAAAAAGAGAGAGAACTATTTGCAATGTAAATAAGAATGTTGAGAATCCATTCACAGCGGGATGAAATGTGTTGAAAACTTCAATAACAATCTAGCAGGAAGCTAATCACCTCGAGTGACAGGAGACGGAAGGAATGACGGAGCATCTCCATCCTCTGCTTTATAATGACATATTTGAGGGCTGGAGAGTTAATGGTACTGCTCCTCTTGTGTACTGAAGTTTGCTTCCCAACACCCACATCAGATGACCCAAGTCAAGGACATATAAGGCGCTGCGAACGATGGGAAGACTGTGTGTGTGTGTGTGTGTGTGTGTGTGTATGGGGGGGGTCCCAGTATTTAAAAAAAAAAGTGTTCTTCATGTACATTTCTCTAATTTAGGTGCACAAGTTTTTCCACTGTGTAAGCCAGGTATTAGTGGAGGCCAGACGAGAGTGTCTGGTTCCCCATGATTGGAGTTCTGGGCAGTTGCCAGGAATAAAGCTAGGCTCTGTGGATGAGCAGTCAGTGCTGTTAGGGGCTGAGCCATCTATTCAGCCTCATGAACATGTCATTAATAGCAGTAAGCTATGAATGGTTGGTCCTAAGTTTGTCTTCACCTCATCACAGAAGACCCAGAAAAAATAAAGGATTTATAGTATCAGAAACTGACTTTGAGGCGGTTCTTAAAGAAATTTCCCGTTCCAAATCTCTAAATCTCAAAATCAATCAATCAGAAGAGAAACTGACAATACAAGTCTTTTAAAAAGTGGTTGACCACTTGACCAAGGCCATAAAACTTTATTTCCCATGTGGTAAATAGACAGGAAAAACAACCACACAAACAAACAAAAACTAGGAGTAATCTGGTGAAGTAGCACACATCTACCCCTGTAATTCCACCACTGGAGAGACTGAGGCAGGAGGATCATGATGTTAAGACCAATGCTGGCTTCACATCATAAAAACAAACAAACAAACAAACAAACAAAAAAACAGGAAACAAAGAAAGAATGAAGAAAGATGCTTAAACAGAATGTGGAGTATCATTCAACCTTTAAAAAGGAAAGAAAAAAGTATGCTACAGTCTTATTATTACATCATGGGTTTGATGGGTTTGAGGCGTGAACTTGTTACTAACAAAGGACTCGACTTCCCCTAACACTTACGGCATCAAAGTCAGGAAAAACACAGCTTCAAGAGCTGGAGTCACAGGCCAATGTAATCCTCTAAGCTAAAATCTTTAAATTAAAAAAATTTAAAAAGCAACACGCTTAGCAGTGGAAGGGGGTACATACCTGCAGTGTCTGGACCCAGAGGCTAAGGCTTCAGGACTGTATGACTCTGAAGCCAACCTGGTAAGATCCAGGCCCTCTTGATCTCAAGCAACAACAGGACACACAAAAAAGTAATGCCTACAAATGGTTCAAGTTCCCATTTGTTCTGTTTTGATCTATGAATCCAGCATTAAAAAAGAAAATAGTGTTTTTGGTTTTAGATGTATGGGTGTTTAGCCTGCATGTATGCCTCCCTGTGCATCATGGGCATGCTTCTGCCCATCAAGGCCAGAGGAAACCGCCACATTTCTTGGAACTGGAGTTACAAAAGATTATGAGCCACCATGTGGGTGACGGGAATTGAACCTGGGACCTCTCAACAAGCAGTCAGTGCCAACTGCTCAGCCATTTCTCCAGCCTGAAACTGGAACTTTAAATAAAATAAAATACTTATGTATGTGCACACATGAGCACAAGTGTCTAAAGAGGCTAGAGTGGTGGGTTGATTCCCCTGCAGCTGGAGTTCTAGGCATCTGTGTACCGCTGGATACAGGTGATCCAGTGCCTGCACTCTGATGAAGACGTGTCTAAGTTATTTTCCACTGCTATAGTAAAACAGCATGACCAAGGCAACTTACAGAGCAAAGGTTTTATATGGTTCCTGAAGGTCAGAGACCATGGTGAAGGGCACAGCCTAACAGCATGGCAGCTGAGCTAGAAGCTGAGAACTGAGGGCTCATATCCAGAACCACAAAGAGGATACAGAGTGAATGCACTCAGAAGTGTGAGGCTTTAAACTCCCAAAGCCCACATTCAGTGACATTATTCCTCCAAGGCCACACCTTCACAGACACTAAACATTCACATTCCAGAGACTACAGAGAATATTGTCATTCAAACCACCACAAGTAGTATGTGCTCTTAACTGCTGAGCCTTTTCTGACATGTAAAGCTCAAATTTACTATTATGCAACCTAAAGCATACAAGGCATGGGAGAAACAGGATCCCACTCTCTAACGCCTGCCAAGTCTGTTTCTCATGAGTTTCTCTTGGCTGTCAGCTTCCTAATGTACCCTTCCTAGGGTTGTGAGCCACTCACTTTCTAGAAGTGGGCCCAGAAGACACCAGGGACCTCAAGAGAACCTTTCCACTGAGATCAAGGAGAGAGCTCACTCAACACAAGACACATTTTTCAGTGAGTTGCATGCTGAGACAGCATATGTGTATGGATACAACACACGCATGCCATGACATGCATATGAAATCCTGAAGACCACATTGGGTGGGGGTCTACACCTTCCAACTTGATGTATGGGGTTTCTTTGTTATTCTTCCAATGTGTATGCTAAGTTACCTTGCCCATCAGCCTTTGGGATTCCTCTGTCTCCATCTTTCACCTCCCCATAGGATTATGAACACTTGACATGCACTTGGCTTTTATACTGGTCTCTGGGATTTGAATTCAGGTCCTCAAACTTACATAGCAAAGAACCTTATCCACTGAGCCAGCTCCCCAGGCCTGAGATAGTTTAATACTGACCTTGGTCTAGCCTGCTTTGGGGACAAAAACTCCTTTCTGTCTGGTAGACAGCCATCTATCTAGATCTGAAAGCTACAGAAAAAGCTATTATCCTGACAAGAGTCCAGTGACTGATGCCCATGTTCCATACTCAGGAGGTAGATGCAGAAGGATCAGAAGTTCAGGGACAGCCTTGGCTACAATGTGACTTGTAGGCCAGCCTGGACTTTATGAGATCATATGGTAGAAAACACATTAAAAAAAGCCACACTCCCAGTGTGGCCCCCAGATAGTCAGTGACTCCCTTAGGCAAAGAAGCCCAGATGAGTTAAGGACATCTCGACATAAAGCGGACCATCAGAAAAGAGAGGTTTATACGGAAACAGGAAGTGTAGGGTCCTGAGCTTTATTGGCACGCTACTCAGAGCACTCTGTCCTCTCTGCCCTGGAATTCTCACTTTCAAGACACCAGGAGACAGAGGGGACAACCAAGGAGAAATAGCTCAGCCACCTCCATCTTGCCCACTTCCAGCTCTTACTTAGGTGCTTCTCCTCCACGGTGGCTGATGGCACTGGTAGAATACTGTAGCCTTCCGGGTAGTCAGTCCACGGGGCTTCTAGTGGGAGGGACAGAGTTGGGCAACCTGAGCCTATGACCAGATCAGTGATGGGTCTTGTGCTGGAAAGGCCTGGAAGGAAAATAATGAGGCCTTGGGGAGCTACTAGGGGACAGATGAATAGTAAAACATTGTGGGGTTCCTTGGGGATAGGTGGGGCCAAATAACAGCCACAGCTCCTCCTGCACATTGGAGTGAGGGATTCCTTCCTGGCTAGACTGGAGCAGGTGTCAAGGAGTGTCAAAGTTGTATGGGACACCTTGTCAGAGCCTGGGCTTCCCATCTTGATAGGATCTGTCCCACCTGGATACTTTCCCACCACAGGGTGAGACACATCCTAGACCCTACCTGACAGGATGGGCTTGTGGATGACAGATCCTGGCGCTGCGCTGCTCCATAGGTCACAGAGGACCAGAGGTCTAGGCTCTTGGGGACAGAGGTTTTCTCTGACTTTGGAGGGAGGATGTCCCAGCCCAGCAGACAGTGCTGTGGAAAGCCAATTGTTGAAGGCACCTGCCATACACGACTATGGAAAAGACCCTTGAGCAGCCACTATCTCCTTCCTGAGACAAAAGCTGTGTCTACCTACTGCTTTACCCTAGGTCATCCCAAACTCAGTCTATGTTGACCTGGCCACCACAACCCTCCCCAAGATGGAGAATATAGAGATATTAATGGAATCCCTTCCACGCTGGACTTGGCCTTGAACACCTAAGTTACATGACTTCACTAAGCCACCCACGAGACCCCAATACTAACAACAGTCCCTTTATTCCCACTTTATAGGAGAGCCAAAGGGTCTTTCTCCTCTTCTCTTCTCCCAACTGCAGCTACTTTGTCCTCTAACGGGGCTTAAGCAGGACACCCTTTGACTCCCATCCTGACTAGGAAATGAGACACAAAAACGCAAACATAAGGTCTGGGTTCAAATCCATCTCTGCCACCAGCCCTCCTCTGCCTCCATGGCTTGTGTTAGGGTAGGGTAAGAGAGTCACTGCCACGACTCTGGGAAACAGCCCTCCAAAGAGCTCAGTGAATGGGTCCCATGTAGATACCCATCTTAGACACCATGTAGGGGACATATACCACATCTGCCCAGGGACTGAGGATGTCACCAGCCAAAGTCTACTAGCATTCAATATCCTTAGAGCAAGCTCTCTTCATCAGGCTAGCTCAGGACCCTGGTCCCAGCTGCTTCTAGCCTCTTAGGGCAGGGAGCTTACCCGAGGCAGAGCTAGAGTGTCAGATGCATCAAAGCTCTTCCTTCTGTGAATTCGATACCGGTGTGGAGGGTCCAGGATGGATAGGGGAATGCTCACCCTGTGTAAGAAGGCACAGCACCACAATCAGTAAGGGTCACATTCTGTACCTCACCCTAGTTGCAACAGTCCACTAGGGACCCCCCCAGGAATCCCAAGGTTATTGACACTCACCTGACTTGCACTGGCTCCATCAGAGTTTCAGGTCCCTTCTCATCCCGGGGTATCCTACACAGCCGGCAAGGGGCACCTGGATCCAAAGGCTCAGGAAACAGCCGGCGGTTGATGCGGTAACAGTACACACCTGTGAGGCCCATGAGACACCTTAGTTTCCCCTAACTAGGGGATCTGTTTCCAGAGTCGAGGGCTGTCCCTAGCACATAAACCACGCCATCCACTGAGGAGCCCCCTTTTTTCCCCAGCATGTTTCCTCCCAAAGTCTTTGTTTCACGTGTAAGTTCAGGGAGAAATGTCCTCTCAGGGGCAGCTTTTGGAGAGAAGTGGTTATAAAGGGCAGAATCAAAGCCAGTCAAAGCCCTAGGCCAGGATGCATCCCTCAATGCTGAGACACCAGGTGGCTGTCCCTGAGACCACAGCTCAGAGTGACCTGGTGGAAGTGTACACTCACACTCGTGGTCCTCTTCCACACCACTGCTCTCTTGCAGCCCTGGGAACACAGCTCTGAGGGTGGAGACAGAACATGAGCAGGATGAGTGATGGAGTCCCCCAACAACCCTGGACAGTCCACACACACCCCTGCTTACTCAGGGGAGCTGCAAACACAATCCTCTTTGTTGTTTTCTCGAAACTTCTGCAGCACAGAGAAGAAGGCTTCGGGTTCACTAGTGACCGGAGAGTTATTGTCCGGGGACCCTGGGGTGGACAAAGCAGCAGTGGATTGAATTGAAGCACCTTGCCCCTTGGATTCTACACCCTCTGTTAGTGCCAGCTATGTTTGATCACCATCCTGCCTTGCTGGAGTCAGCTGTCCCCAGACAGCATCCCCACAGTGTCCTTAACAGGGACTATACACTCTTCTTTCGTTTGTTTGTTTGTTTGTTTGTTTAGAGAAAGTAAGTATGTAACTGAACTGGATATGCTTCTTGAGTGCTGAGACTAAAGGCCCATTTCTCCATGCTTACTTCTGTTTTACAGACAAGGTCCCATGTAGTCCAGGCTGGCCTCTAACTCAACACTTTTTGAGGCACCTGGGTTACTTCTTAGCTAGAGAAAGAGTAGGAGGCTAGACAAAGTTCCCTCTCTGAGGAAACCACATTCTAAAAAGATAAAAGACCAATTCGTCACCAAGGATCTCTGTGATACAATATGGGAAGCTAGAGGCCAGAGCCAGGTGCCTGTATGCTACAGGGTGGAAATTCCAAGAGAGGTCTGAGAAGGTGACCAGAGCAGAACTCTCGGGGACAATTCAAAAATATACTCCAGTAGGTGAAGATGTGAAAGCCCTGCACAGTCAGGAGCTCGGTGTGTGAGGAAGAGTCAGCATGAGACCATGGCCAGAGTACAGTGAGGGGTGAGGGCGGAGGGATGGAGCCCAGAGTCTGAGAGGAATCAGGACAAGGTAGGACATATTTTTACAGGATTTCCCCTTGATGTTGAGAGGTGAGAAGAAGCAAGGACAGCAAGAGAGAAGTTGTAAATTCTAGAATTATATTAATGAAATTCTAGAGAATGTATTAGCCGTCAGTATATGGAATATGTAAAAGGGAGGCAATGTCAAAGCTGAGCCCAAGCATGACTTGACTTACTAGGTTCATGATACTGCCATTTACAGAGATAGGAAGAGGGGCTACACTGAGGATGGGGGTAGAAACCAGGACCTTGGTTGTTGATATGAGATTAAGACACTCTTTAAAATTGCATTTTATTTTATTTCTTTTGGCAACTAAATTTTTTTAAGTTGGGTGAAACAGCTATAATCTTAGCAATTGGGAGGCAGAGTCTTGGGGATCTCTGTGTTCAAGGAAGGCTAGTCTACATAGGGAGTTTCAGGACACTCAAAAAAAAGTTACTAAGAAGAGACGAAGGTAGGGCTGGAGACGACTTTTGATTCCAGCACTCGGGAGGCAGAGGCAGGAGGTTGATCTCTGCATTCTAGTGCAGCCTGGTGTATGGATCGAGATCCAGGACAGTCAGGAATATACAGTGTGGCCCAGTGTATACAAACAAACAAGAACTCTGGCTGCTTTTGCAGAGACTCAGCTCCCAGCACCCACCCTGTGGTTCACAATCCCACCCCTCAATAACTCCAATTCCAGCCTCTCTCACCCCCTTGTGACCTCCACAGCCACCAGGTATGTGCGTGATGGACAGACATATATACAGGCAAACTCACACATAAATCAATGATTAAAAGCCGAAAGCTAAAACGGTATAGTTTCTGCTGCATGCATTTTGACACTCAGTTTTCAGAAATGAAGCAGGGAAGAGGCTAGAAAGACGGCAGGAGGCCCTGAGGAGCCAGAGGAGCAGAAGAATTGAGATGCTTCCATTAGTGTCGATCAGGGGCCTGGCTTCTATAAATGCTCAAATATAGATGGCAGTCCTGATCCACTAGCTCATTCCTTCATCTTCACTTGTGTCCGGGCTAAGATTAGTCTAACCCTGGCCCTCCCTCACCTGAACCCCCACCTCACCTGTAACCCCACCCCTCACCTGCAATCCAATCATAGCCTAGGTATGGCCTAGAGTACCAGCTGCTCTCAGGCACTGCAGACTCCTGGGAGAAGGTCACTTTGGGCTGAGGAAGTAGACAAAGGCTAGATCAGCAGGTTTGGCCCAGAGGTTCCATTACAGGGGGACACCATGCCTTGTTGTGACTTAAGACTCCAGCTTGGCGCTAGCCTCAGCTGAGGAACTCAGAACCGGGAAGGTCAGTTTGGCCCTGCTTTGGGTGTGGCTTTGAACAAGCCTGGGCTCCAGGCCTGTCTTTCTTTCTTTCTTTCTTTCTTTCTTTCTTTCTTTCTTTCTTTCTTTCTTTCTTTCTTTTTTTCCCAAGACAGGGTTTCTCTGTGTAGTTCTGGCTGTCCTGGAACTCACTCTGTAGACCAGGCTGGCCTCGAACCCAGAAATCTGCCTGCCTCTGCCTCCCAAGTGCTGGGATTAAAGGCGTGCACCACCTCCGCCCGGCAAGGCCTGTCTTTCAGGCCTGAACAATAAGGCTTGCCTCCTTTTTCACAAAGTGCTGACTGACAGCAATGATAACGTCACACGGCACCTTCTAGAAGCCTCACTGCACCCCCCCCCAGGACACTTTTCTAGGGACAATCTGTCAGACAGGGAAACTGAGGGTCCATAAGGCTCCTCATGATTTCCAAGAATCTCTTAGTTACCTTAGATGGCTTGCTCGGTCGTGACAGGACGGACCTTGGGATCTGTGTCTTGTTAGGCCCCAGACCTTTTGGTCCTGCCAAAGACACTGGTCCCTTCAGACCTTGAGTGGCTAGCAAGGGTACTGAGAGGGGCCGTAGTCCTTCCTGGGGCTCCTGGGGTTGGCAGGTGGCAGGTGGATGAGAGTCCATCCTAGAGTTGACCTTGCCATTCCAAGCCATATCAAACATGTCACCTTGATGACTGTCCAGTGGGTCCCACATGTGTCTTTTGTCCTGTGAGCTGGGGGCCATTGAAGAAGTGGAAGAAGTCTCTTGGGACAGTGGCATCTCTAAGTTGTTGCTGCTTCTATAGTTCAGGTTTGACTGTAAGAAACAGGTCAGGTTACCCAGGCAGTAGCCTGGCCAGTGCCCAGCCACTCTGACCTGTTGTGGACCTGTAGATCTTTACCTTGCTGTGGCTTTGGGGTATCCCAGCCCAGTCCCTTCCTCCCAAGGCCTCAGTTTTACACCATCAATGAAATGGGTTCATTAGGAAAGGCTGACCCTAGAGGCTTGGACACAGTCACTGAGGATAAGTTGTCTTTTCCTCACCACCTGGACATTACCAAGGTGGCCACCCACCTCTAATGCTGCTCTGGCCACCGACTGACACATGGCCTCGTGCCCAGCCCAAAGCTGCTTCAGGAGCTCCAGACTGAGCAGCCGAAGCTGAACCGGGTCTTTAGTCTCCGCCATATTGGGCACGTGGGCTTCTCACAGCAACGTCACTATCTCTGGGCTGCAGCATACCCACAGGAGGTGCTCAGCCTAGGTTCCACCTGAAGTCAAAACAGCAATGACAAGACATGAGGGAGGATCCCTGCCACACAGGCCTAGATCCAAATCATCACCAGGAAGCTCCTTCACTCTGCAGCCTCACACAGCTCACTTAACCTCTCTGTGTCTCCTGTCTTCACCTGATAAATAAGTAGCAGTGTTTACCCCACCATACTGTCACCGGGGCGACACAATTTAATGCCTATTAAGCCCATAGTATGGCACTTGATTAACGGCCATTACCACTAACACAGCCAGAGTGAGTGTGCTTCCTTCCCACTGGGCCTTCCCTGTGTAATCTGATTCCTGGGGTCTGTGAGATGTCTCAGTTGGTAAAGGTGCTTGCTGTCAAGCATGATGATCTGAGTTCAATTCCTAGGGCCTACATAGTAGAAGGTGAGAACTGACCCCCTCGAATTGTCTTCTTATGTACAGCATGTGCTTGCCTATACCCACACACACATATAAAAACTTGTTTTTAATATTAATCTGATTCCTTTAACATCTAGTACAGCATGCTAATTCAAAGCTTAATGACTTGTGCTATCTGGAGGTGACATTGAACCCAGTACCTGAAGCATTAAGCCTTTGCAGCAAATCTTCTCCCAGCCAATTCGTTTTTTTTTTCTTTTCCTTCTCTCTCTCTTTCTCCCTCTTTCTTTTATTTGCATGTATATCCCAAAGTCACACAGCTACTAAATGTCAAAAGCAGGGTTTCAACCAAAATGTAGGTTCCTGCTTGTGGTGCAGTGGCTACTTCCTCTGACATCCAAACTTCTCCCTCATGGTGGGAGGAGCGAGTCTCCTCAGAACATGTCGCAAATTCCTAAGGCCCCCCTCCACAAGGATAATTTAAACAATAGCCAGGGAGAGAGGATTCTCCGATGGAGCTGCCTGACAGCAGTGCAGGGGTGGATCAGAACCCGTGCTAGGTGGGCTTCTCAGTGATGTACCTGCCTATGGGCCATGCAAGTTCCCGCATTAACCCCAATAATGTACACTCATTGGTTCACCCAGCCACACTTGGGTGGACTCATTTCTCTGCTCTGTTGGCTGTGCTCTGGAGTAAATAAACCTTTGTTGATATATGACTCCGGATGAATGGTCTGCACTTAGGAAAGCATGGCCCTGAAAGGGTTGGTAGGATCCTGGGATGCCCCTCACCCCTTCTCCAGGCAGCACTGGTCCCTCGTAAATTACACCCGGGGTCCCTTTCTTTTGCTTCTGGAAGAGATATCGGCAGTATAAAGAAACATTTCCCACTTCTCTTACAACCCCAGGCCAGGCTCCTCCAGCAGTATCAGACCCCCGTCGTGTCCCAGCCCTGTCACCCCACAAGCCCCTGGGGACTTGGGTTTCGGTGCAGGTTGCAGGGGGCGAGCAGAGAAGACCCAGGCATCTCACTCACGCACACTCAGGCAGGCAGGGTACACACCGGGCCTAGGTGCTTGCCTCTTCTCTACCGGTCTAGCGGGACGTAGGCACACCTCTCTGGTCCCAAGATCCGTGGCTGCCTTGGATAAAAGGACGCCAACGCTCTTCTCCCGGAAGCCCAGGTTCCCAGCCGCCCGGGGATCCGCCTCCAGCAGGGGCGAAACCTCCAGTGGTTGTCCTAATTGGCTAATGCTGGGGCGGGGCCTCCGCCGCTGTCCTGATCGGCCAATTGACAGGGCCAGGACGCCTTACACTTGTTTCTTCGCATCCGGAAGCGGCAGTTTCAAATGGGGAGGGGGGGCGGCTAATGAGACCTCACTGCTGATTGGTTAACTGATAATGCTAATTCTACCAATTCAAATTATACAGAAAGGCGGCGGTCGAAGAGGACTGGTTCTGGTTGGTCAGTGTGGGCCGGTTACGCAATTTCCGGATATGAAGCCGCTACTGGCGGTGGATAGTTGGGGCTAGATCCGGCAAACTTTTTTTTTTTTTTTTTTTTTTTTAAAAAGGCGTGCATCAAACTAAGGGCTCCTCCCGGTTGGGGTGGGAGTGTGGATCTACAGACTTGCCACATTAGCCCAGTTTTCTATAACACTGCAAGTCTTCGTGAAGTGCCTATTTTGTGCCAAAAAAACAAAAAACAAGTGTTTTACCTTAGCTGTTGTGTCTCAAGGGCACTTTGTTTTTATTTATATTATTATTATTATTATTATTATTATTTGGTTTTTCGAGACAGGGTTTTACTGTGTAGTATTGGTTGTCTTGGAACTAATTCTGTAGACCAGGCTGGCCTCGAACTCAGAAATCCGCCTGCCTCTGCCTCCCAAGTGCTGGGATTAAAGGCGTGCACCACCACTGCCCGGCGGCACTTTGTTTTTAATAACCATGGCTGTTAGCCACTCTCTCCAGGTAACAGAGGCAAAGCCAGCCTGCGCCAGAAAAGAGTCTTGGAGTACACTTGAAATAAACATCTGGAGTCTAGGTTAAGGGGCTTATTTACTCTCGCGGTCTTCATTCAAGAAGCGGGGTTTACTGGTACATTTTAGGTTTCAAGTACCTATTCTGTGCCAGGTTGGGAGTGGGGTAGAATAGCTCATGCAGCAGGAATAAAGTGCCCTGGCCCAGACCAAGCATTTAAATCAATACAATTCAATGGGTGTGGGTGTGCACACTTTTAATCCTAGCACTCATTAGGCGATCAGGCATCTTTGTGAACTCAAGGCCAGTCTGTAGTGTGCTCCAGGACAGCCAGGGCTACATAGTGAGATGCTGTCTCAAAACACAAACTGATAGGTTATTTCTCCATAGGTGAACTAAGCTCATTCAAACCAGATTAGAATATATTAAAGGCAGGTTTATTGGATTCACTGGCCCCAAGGAAGGAGGCCAGGGAAATCACCATGGGGAGATAGAGGATGGGAAGAAAGGGGAGGGAGGGGAGAGAGGGACAGAAAGAGGAAGAGAGAGGGAAGGAGAGGGAGAGGGGAAGGGAGAGGGGGAGGGAGGGAGGGAGGGAGGGGGAGGGGGAGAGAGAGAGAGAG